AATGGTCTGTATTGACTGAAGCAGGGTCTGGGTGGGACCGAGTGGTATATGTTAGACTAGAATGGTCTGTATTGACTGAAGCAGAGTCTAGGACCGAGGTGGTATAGGTTAGACTATAATGGTCTGTATTGACTGAAGCAGGGTCTGAGTGGGACCAAGTGGTATATGTTAGACTAGAATGGTCTGTATTGACTGGAGCAGGGTCTGGGTGGGACCGAGTGGTATATGTTAGACTAGAATGGTCTGTATTTACTGAAGCAGAGTCTAGTAGGGACCAAGTGGTATATGTTAGACTAGAATGGTCTGTATTGACTGAAGCAGGGTCTGGGTGGGACCAAGTGGTATATGTTAGACAAGAATGGTCTGTATTGACTGAAGCAGGGTCTGAGTGGGACCAAAGTGATATATGTTAGACTAGAATGGTCTGTATTGACTGAAGCAGGGTCTGGGTGGGACCAAGTGGTATATATTAGACTAGAATGGTCTGTATTGACTGAAGCAGAGTCTGGTAGGGACCAAGTGGTATATGTTAGACTAGAATGGTCTGTATTGACTGAAGCAGAGTCTGGTTGGGACCAAGTGGTATATATTAGACTAGAATGGTCTAACATATACCACTTGGTCCCAACCAGACTCTGCTTCAGTCAATACAGACTAGAATGGTCTGTATTGACTGAAGAAGGGTCTGAGTGGGACCAAGTGGTATATATTATACTAGAATGGTCTGTATCGACTGAAGCAGAGTCTGGGAGGGACCAAGTGGTATATATTAGACTAGAATGGTCTAACATATACCACTTAGTCCCACCCAGACCCTGCTCCAGTCAATACAGACCATTCTAGTCTGTATTGACTGAAGCAGGGTCTGAGTGGGACCGAGTGGTATACGTTAGACTTTGACTGATGCTGGGTCCGGGTTGACTGAGGAGGCCTGCATTAGAGTAAGGGTGAGACTTGGTGGTAAGACGGTAACATATACTTTAAGGACATGAGTGCACTATACTGCACTGCACCATATGGTGTGAATGTTTACGCATTTACTTAAAAAAGTTAATTTTAAGTACTTTTGTATACTGTTTATTGGTAAATGCATGGTGTGGATACCTTCTTCCTTAGGTGTGGAACTTGAACCTTTCAGGTATATGTGAAGGGGTGCTTTGTTTCGGATGAGATCATACAATGATGACTGTTAACAGTAGCGGTATTGTCCATTGTTGTTTAAATCTATAATAGTTGGGGAACGAAGTATGAGTAACTTTACACAATATCCCGTTTTTCTTTAGTTTGTTTTATACAGATGTGTCACCAGTAATACACACTTTGTAACACTCATTGCTATGCATGATATTACATATGTGAAACTGTTCTTAACCTTGTTTTTACACACAGATCTTTTACATGAACGGACATTTCACAGAAACTGACTATATATATGTTATACATCAGCCTGCCACTGTGAACTGTAATTGTGGGAAAAGTGAGTTTTGACATTACATGCTGGTCCTGTTTTGTTGTACGATGCGGGACAACTGATACTGCAGGCTATCGGTCAGGTATCACCCAGGTAATGCGCTATTTTCTCAGTAACCTAGCTAGTGCCAGTGATCATATACAGATCTGTACAGATCCCAAATCTCATCAACATTATAATCCACAATTTATCACATCGCAAATTACGCTGTGTCTTATCTATTTTTAAATTGTATGGATTTTCAATCAGTCATGTAAGAGAAAATTTTAAATGTCTAAAAAAAAAAAATGAACTATGTTTTACATTAAAGTTCACCTGGGAATACAGGTGTTTATTATCAAGGAACAGTTATGATGTCACGGGCTAATAGGAAGTAGGGTTTCCGTCATATATTGCCAGTATCTATTGATGAGTATATGTCTGACTGTCATGTTTCTTAGCCGATCATATTAGTTTTTGTTTTATCTCCGACAACACCATCCATGTCCAGCCATCAGTGACGTTCATTACCTCGTAAACACCGCAAGTCATTTCACATATGTTTTACAGTACAATTGTATACTGTATATATCTGAGAAGATGTCAGATATTTTTAAATATTCATCAGTATATTTATTACCTCTTACAGATGTTTTCCGGGTGAACTGTTTTTATTGTTTAGTATTGTGGGTAAGATTTAATTTATATTGCTTGACTCCCACATACATAAGGTTAACAAAGGTCTCTTGACATTTATACCAATTTTATTAGGGGTCGAAGGTCACAGGCAGGATCAGAGACCAGTTAATCAAAGCATGGTCATCTTGACGAAAACTTAATGCAACATTTTTATTTAGTATGATATATGAAAAGATATTGAAATTAAAACTCATTATGTAAACCGTTATATAGATTTAAATGATTATCTGAAGATAAAAAACACAAAATTGTATAAAAATATTTAGATTTTTGCAAAAATCGCTTTTACAAAACTTTGTGATTTTGAACTGTTAAGCTAATCAGGAGTGAAATAACTCTTTCCTGACATCAGCAGCTAACTACTGGTCTGGGCATGGTTTAAGGTCCTGTACCTGCAATCAAACTGAAAATATAAAATGTTTGTCAGCAAAACTGCATAAATTACAAAAAATACAGAATTTAAGAATGAATTTGAGATACACTAATCACAACTGTTAGACAGTCTAGCTAGCTGTCTGTCACATGATGTATATATCTAAATAAAATTCTCGGTAATGATGGGGTCTGTATATGTTAGATGATGTAATATCTCGTATAGAAGGAAGGAGACCGGCTATTACAGATTGTTGATTAACATCCCTTTAAATGGATCGGGAGCATGTAGGGTTATCTCCATCATAGGGAAGCATGAAATGCTTGTTTCTTTAAAAATGACTTTGAAAAGTTTATCTAATTGTTTCTGGTGTAAAAACCTTCCTTTGTGACTGATGGGCTGGCTTAACTATCAATCATGGTTCCCACACCAGGATAGTCACCTTCCCCACCCAGCTTTGGTTCTGCTTCAGGGCAACCTTTTGGCTCCTCTGATGGATAGGCAAGGTGACCTGCAGTACGGGAAATTAGAAATTGAAGGCATTCTGATAACAGGATTATATTAGTAATAAGTCCCTGTTTAGGGAGAAGCCCATTAGTCCGTTAGGTTATGCCGGTTTCCATGACGGGAGCTCACGGTTTCTGTTTATTTTGTCCCTTTCCATGGCCCATATCTGTCTGGTGATTCTGATTTCTGTTTTTCAAAGGCCTATACTGTTCTGTTGATTCTGACTTTGTCTTCTGTCTGTTGATTCTGACTTTGTCTTCTGTCTGTTGATTCTGACTTTGTCTTCTGTCTGTTGATTCTGACTTTGTCTTCTGTCTGTTGATTCTGACTTTGTCTTCTGTCTGTTGATTCTGACTTTGTCTTCTGTCTGTTGATTCTGACTTTGTCTTCTGTCTGTTGATTCTGACTTTGTCTTCTGTCTGTTGATTCTGACTTTGTCTTCTGTCTGTTGATTCTGACTTTGTCTTCTGTCTGTTGATTCTGACTTCTGTCTGTTGATTCTGACTTCTGTTTGATGATTCTGACTTCTGTCTGTTGATCCTAACTTCTGTCTTTCCAAAACCCACATCTATCTGTTGATTCTAACTTCTGTCTTCCGAAAACCTACATTTGTCTGTTGACTCTGTCCTCTGTCTTTCTGATTTCTGTCTTTCCAAGGCCCACATCCGTCTTTTGATTTGACTTTTGTCTTCTGTCTGTTGATCTTGTGTTATTCCATAGTCCACATGAATACGTTGATGTCTACTGTCTGTTGATATTGTGTTATTCCATAGTCCACATGAATACGCTGATGTCTTCTGTCCTTTCCATCACACACATCCATTAGATTCGGTCCTTTCTATGGCCCAAATATAAACAGATATGTTGATTGAAGTGTGAAGGCTGATTAGATATGCTTATTTGCTCCTGGACATAATGTTAATCCAAGGGGAGGCAACTGTGAGGAATTTTCACACATGATGATAAGGGAAATTAGGGTATTACATTGAGCTATCTAGCTGAGATTGCCCTGTTTGACTTTAAGTGCCTAATTTTGACCTTCGGTCATATTTGTTCTGACCCCTAGTACAACCTGAGACAGCGGAAATCATAAACCCTTGTATTCCCACAATCAGGAGATAGGCTGACCCACTAGGATGACCCATTGCGGAGATAGGTCAGTCCATTCTGTCCTTATGGGGAGTTACAAGTGTCCAGTGATGATTTGCGGTATTATCTGTACATGTGTACAGTAGACAGTGGTCATTGTGTGGTGTTTAACATGGAATAGACTTACACACCTTCAAAATGGAGGTCACAGCGCAGGTATGTAACATGAACCATGGGGAGGGCTAGCACAGTAGGGGGAGGGGGATACTAGGGTGGGGAAGGGCTGAGCTGTAGCAGAGACTGTAAACAGTAGAAAATGGGTCCTATTGATTGNGGGGGGGGGGGGGGGGGGGGGGGGGGGATCAAATATTACTAAAAGTTCAGGCTGGATAACTGAAATATGTTATAAAGATTGTTCTTCATAGTTTTCAAGGAAACATATAAAATTGGTCATGATGATTTCTACAATTGTATATAATTTTATATCTTATTTGACAATAACTATATATATGCAAAACTTTTCATACACAATATATGTTTGTTGCAGTTGTTCACCCAAAATATTTATGCAAAGACTAGTACGAAGATCACGAATTGTAAACATTGCTAGCTTATTATGTGATTAAAGTAATGACATACTACTCTTTTGACAATATCAACTATAGTTGGGGAATTCATATATGATCTCTAAATAAAAGTGAATACTTCCAACATCTGATCGGCATTGCTCAGTAATCCTAGTGCTGTTTGTATATGTAAACGGGTGATCTGCCAAACTTCCCATCATCTGATCCAAGTCGATACATATTCCGATCAGTCAGAACTTCAGCCCAACAACCCAATCAAACTGTCGTCCGAGATACGATCAAATATTTGTTTTTTGTGTCGTTTTATCGGTCACATGACTATATATCAGACCCATAAATATTTATAATGCTGTGTGTCTCTGTGTAGACTCTGTCTGTAGAACTTGTCAAGGTCTCGACACTCCCCATCAGGTTGGTAAGACCTAAACCTAAACTTGATGCGTAATCTTTGCACTTTATCTGTGTTCGATTTTGTTCCGATTTTCCTACGTTGTACAGTGATATCAAAATGCTAACCCACAAGCAAGTGATGGGTTCTAATCACTAGCTCAGCCCTATCACACCATCCTAATCTCTTGCACAAATCTTCAAAGAAATTTGTCCGTCTTTGAGCTCCAAGATATATCAATACAACATAGTCTCCATTTACAAAGGACAGATTACTCTTCAAAAAATGGTGAGTTACTTCCTTTTGGAACAGGCATCCTTTATGGAGTGTTTAACACATTCAAAAGGTCCAATTAGAATATTTTTAGAAATTATCACCATTGAAATATCATAAGTAATCTTATAGTTACAGTTAAGATAGACAATGAAGGACCTCATTGTTCCTATTGGGAAACATCACTGGAAACAAGGATTTCGATTTTTCCTTAACTTCATCAATGGTTTCCAATGGGAAAACAAATATTTGTGTCTGTAATATTGATTAGCATAACTTAGGTTTTCATATCGTTCCACTATACCTGTTCATATGTATATAATATAAAAGAAGGAGAACTCCAAACCTCGATTTTCTTGAGTTGAAGAAATATTTATGAAACAGGGGCCAGACTTGTTTCAATTTCTTGCTAGTATAGAGAATCTGTAATATTCAAACATTGTCGGTTTACCTGAGGATATTTGTATGTGTGTGTTTGTGTGTGTTACCTGTATATTACCTGTCTGTGATACTGTGCATATACCTGGGGCACAGGTAGTGTTGAAACATGTGTGTGCATAAAATCTCAACCTTTCCTTAGGTAAACAGTCTAGGTCTGACTTTAACTCTGTTGTTGTATGGTGGATCCTTGACGGGATCTGTCCGACCCACAAAGAACTCCTACACTTTTCTGTTTGTCATCTACCTCCTGATAAAGTGTTTTTTTTTCGTATCCTGTATGAGATCATTCTATATCAATTTATTTTGGTTAACGAAGCTGACGTATCCTTTCATTGCAGACACCCACTCATTAAATGATGACAACCAGATTATTTTAGAAAGTTTTTTCAGTTTGAGTCTTTACCTTCTGAAGACCTGTTTCTATTTGATAAACACACTGAAAGCATCCTTTCAGATATTCAGTAAGAATATTGATGAGTATACTTAAAACCTGTCTAATATGACACCGATGCTAACCTGATTTAATGGTCAGCTTATACAGGCTGTCAGAATACACAGGTGCTAGACAATATGTTGGTATACTCCAATGTCACATTAAACAGGGTGACATAATGCTCAGGGGTCAGGTTAGTCAGGATGTCAGAATATGTAGAGCTCACATAGATAGGTTTTAATGAGACATGAAAAAGTGGACCCTGAAATATCAGTTCAATGTAAGTATGTACCTTGTGTATAACATATGGGACATGAGTATTCTCCCTTTGATGGGGGACAGATGAAGTACTCCTGTTTCAGGTGTATGACATAGAGTATCCCCCCTTGTGATCAGGTGTAATATTCCTGTGTTAGGCATGTGATGTTTAGGATCCCTTCCTGTGATTGGGGACAGGTGTGGCACTGCTTTGTAAGGTGTGTGCCATGAAGTTTCCCTCCCTGTGATCAGGTCAGGTGTGGTAGACTCTTCGTCAGGTGTGTGACATAAATTATCTCTCCCTGTGATCAGGTCAGGTGTTGTAGACTCCTCGTCAGGTGTGGTACTCCTGTTTTAGGTATGTGACATAAAGTGTCCCTCATTGTGTTCTGGTGTAATACTCTAGTGTTAGATATTTGATGTAAAGTGTCCCTCCCTGTGATCAGGGGACAGGTGTGTACTCTAGTGTTAGGTATGTGACATAGAGTATCCCTTTCAGTGATCAGGGACAGGTGTTATACTCTAGTGTTAGGTATGTGACATAGGGTATCCCTCCCTGTGATCAGGGGACAGGTGTTGTACTCTTGTGTTAGGTATGTGACATAGAGTAACCCTCCCAGTGATCAGGGGACAGGTGTTGTACTCTGGTGTTAGGTATGTGACATAGGGTATCCCTCCCTGTGATCAGGGGACAGGATATGGAGGGTGATAAGGCTGTTGACACATGACCCCTTTTATGTTGACTCTATCTGAAGCAGTAGTCCCAAGGGGTCACTAAAAGCATGAGGAAGGTCATAAAAATACAGGGGGAATAACTCATACTTGTCATCAGAGAAGAAACTAGAGCAGAGGGGAGTTTGGTCAATTTTACTTAGGAATGGTGGGGGGAGAGAAGAAGAGGGAGACAGCTGGGCATTGCTGTTGAGAAACTGACCAGTTGTTGATAGACAATTCCCAGGAGGTTTAGACTGGGTCCCAGTGAGTCCAGCAGGACTGGGGTAACAGGTTAGGTCAGTGGTGAAGTCTCTGTTCCGACTCCCTAACTGACCCCAAGAAGGGACAAAACATTATTACCAGCACAGGCAGAGTTACAACTAATCAGAATGATCAGGCATGGATAGAGAAGGTCCAGTAGTGTGGGGTGCTGGTCAAGGTGACCATGTCTGGTTGTCTTGGTAATGTATCCTTGTCTGGTCAAGCACAGTACATGTGTACTAAATGGACAAGTGAACACTCAGAAGATGGAGTATGGTACCCCTACTAGCTATTCTTTTCTGGGTTCCATCTGTAAATAGGTGACCTTTATTCACAGGTAATCGTCATATACAGACCTTAGTGTGAAATGTTTTCATTTCTCGTACAGATTTTCTATATATCAGGTTGAATTTATTTACATATTAAACAGGTATCCTTTATACACAGGTGTCTTTATACATAAGTTTACAGCTCTAATATATATACCAGTATTGTTTACAAGTATCCTTTTTATACAGGTGTCCTTTATATACAGGTACATTTTATACTGAAGTATCCTTTAAGCACAAGTAAAATGCATACACAGCTCTAGTTGATACGCTAGTATTCTTCATATATACAGGTACCCTGTATACACAGGTTTAATTTATGTACAAGTATTCATTATATAATGGACAGGTATAATCAAGGTATTTTACGGTATTCCAGATTTGTTTGTTTCAATCTTTGATTCCAACTAAATAATTTTATTCAAAAAAAAAAAGTTGTAAGGTTGTGTGAATTCATCAGTAGGAAGATCAGTACAGTTAGGTTGTCACTTCTCAGGGAGACAACACCAGCAGTAAGACCAGTATAGTTAGGTTGTCACTTCTCAGGGGACAACACCAGCAGTAAGACCAGTATAGTTAGGTTGTCACTTCTCAGGGGGACAACACCAGCAGTAAGACCAGTGCTGTTAGGTTGTCACTTCTCAGGGGGACAACACCAGCAGTAAGACCAGTACAGCTAGGTTGTCACTTCTCAGGGGGACAACACCAGCAGTGAGACCAGTATAGTTAGGTTGTCACTTCTCAGGGGACAACACCAGCAGTAAGACCAGTACAGTTAGGTTGTCACTTTTCAGG